GGTGAGTAAAAGCCCCGCCGCTATTTGTTAATGTTATTACTTAATGTCCGACCGTGAGGATGTACCATTGTTTGCTAGCTTCATGCTAATGACAGTAACTTTAACTCAGCGGGTTGACAAAGTGCCTCTGCTGTTTCACACCATCATTTCCCCCTTTTACTCTGTGTGTATGGCAGCAGATCGTTCTGTGTTTCTACTGGTCAAAGTGACGGCTGTGATGGGAGAATTGGATCTCAGTGAAGGGCAAGTGGTCCATAACTTTAATTTTGGAGACAAAAAAATGTAGACTTAGCGCCCTGTGGTTCATTGCCCAATAGCAAATGTAGAATACTCAAAAGTACTTTAAAAGTGCTTGAGTTACTTTATTCAGGGAGTAATGCAGTAAAGTAACTGGTTACTTTTTAAAAAAGTAACACAGTAATATACTTTGATTACTTTTAAAGTAACTCTTACCCAACACTGTTCTAAGCCTATGAGAAAGCTTCCATTTGTATGTGAATTGCATTACACTTTAGTAAATATATATTTATGAAAGCAATAGTTTGCTAATAAACAACCATATAAATTACACATTGTAACTTTAAATGAAATGACAGTCGGGTGTAAATAGTATGTGTGCACATGCACATGCAGTGAGATCATGTTTGCTTCTGAGGTGGGACAGTAGATGTTGGAAAGCCAAACTTCTTTGATGTGTTCATGATGCAGAGTAAGGAACAGAATCAAAATGTACAAGAGAAGCTCTTCAGCTGTACAGGGCTATAGAGGAGTTAGGTCACAAGAGGAATGAATGCATTTGGCTCTCATTAAAAACAACAGTGGAGAGAGAGGAAGAGCTTCTGCTGTCGATGACTGTCACTAGTTCTAAGTGTACTACTATTTTAAACATGTTGCAATATGCTTAGTATTTCAAAAAAATATAATGTGATTTATTACCCTTTTTAACTGCTAATTATATCTTAAATCTTTGTCAAGATCTTTCTGCGCTTTGGAAAGCAGAGCTAGATGGTAAACAAACATGGCACCACACTGGTAAGGTAAGACAACACGTTTACATGTCGTTTTCTATATGTTCTCTGACATTTATCCTAACGATATGAGGCAGTCTTTGTGGAAAAAAGCTTGTTTAGTGGACTAACTTTGCACTTGAAGTATGCCCATTCACTTACGTTATAACAGGTCTGACACTACTATGCGCCCGGCTGTATCTAGGCTAACGGCTAACATGCTAACTATTATTTTAATGTCACTAGTCACTTGAAACAAATTTAGGACGATAGGAGACAGGTTGAAATAAACCGAAATTTCCCTTTAAAGGCAAAACGCCCAAAAAATAATCTTTAAAAAAAAAATAAAAACTGATACTTGGCATTCACGTATTGATAGGAAATTGCCACACAAAATAATCGCAATACTTGAGTTGCAATGGTATAAGATTTTCATGGTATGATAACCCTCTCAGAACATATTCATATCATGGTATTACAGAATATATTATTATCAGCCAGAATGACCCTTAAAGGAATGAAAATAGAAGGGTTATTGTTGGTTGAACAAACGTTTTATTACTATAATTGAAACTTGAATCCATTTTGCTTGTGAAAATGTGTAGAAAGTCTCCCTTTTGAAAATAACTTAAATAAAGTTGAGATTTCTATCCAGTTGCATTTTTTTTAAAATATCGTAGATACGGAAATGTACAGGTAGCCTATGATAACCGTAAATTATAATATCATGATCTACATTAAAACCGAAGGCTATACCACTGCAACCCACTGTTTGTGGGTAGGCCTATATAAAAAACAGACTGCTTTAACTTGTATGAAATCATTGATATCACTGAATTATCTAGTGGTTGTCATAAATGTCTCTGCTGGAGAAACGTTGGTATTCTGAGTCTAGTCTGTCTAAAACCTTGTCTGCTGCATAAACTCCCTTACTTTACTCTCCTTTACTATGCGCTGGTTAGTGGAGATGGTTAGTGAGCTATACGCAATCATATGTTACAGATCAGTGTGGAGACGGACGAGGAGCACTCATTTATGAATAGGCTCACTGGGCAAAAGGTAACGGGTTTTCCATTATTGGGTTAAGGGGATTTTTAAACATGGAAACTTTGTTGTGGTGGCAGACGGCGAACCAGGAAACTCTAGCTGTTTCCCCCCCAAACTACTGGTGCTAAAATGATAAATTAAAAATTCAACAATGTAGGTATCTAGTAGGCTAATAAAATAAAACACGTTCCAGGCGATATAGGTGTTGTTACAAGAAAAACAACCCACGAGATAAGTTTAGGAGGTCTCAAAGGTAATTCACTGAGATGATGGAACGACCAACATACTGTAGGAGTTAACCATCTAATATGGACGCAGAATCCAACAAGACACTTTAATATTTTACTCACCAAATGGTTCCTTATACGTCCTCAGACTGCTCATTTTTGGATCAGAGACGTCTCCCATGCAGCCCAGTGTATAAGGATCAGATATAAACAGATTGAACACACAGTAATCCTTCTCTGAGAGGAAGAGGAAGCACCGATACTCAGTAGCAGCTCACACTAATGAAACACCTTAGTGATGAAAAGGTACCAGGCGCAATGCTGCCTTCAATGTCCCCTCGTAAATTCAAGAATTCGCATTTCGGAAGTCATTTCTGTTGGAGAGACCGAGAGACCGGTATGACACTTTTTGTCTCAGCACTTAATTTACTGAATTTTTGTGTTAGAGCTCTCAGCCTTTGACAAAAAGCACCCCTATTTGTCTTTAACAAATAGTAATGTTTCCAACTTCTCCAGCTACACCACAGAATTTATTAAGTGATGTTAAATGCAAGGAGTTCCATCCAGTGCCAGCCCGTGGCATTACCCTGGAAATCCAGAGTTCTCGCGAGAGCACAATTTGAATTTGCTCATCTTTCTAGAGTTGGGTCTGGATTTCCAGGCTATCGTGGCACTGGCATAGGCAGTGTAGGCAAATGCTGAGGCCACCGTCATCCATCGGGGGTGCCACAAATGGGGGAAGAAAAAAAAGTCAAAATATTTATATTTTACTATCTTTTACTAATACTATTACTACTATTGTTTTTGAAACATCACGTAAGACCACAATAACATATCTAGGCCTACATATGAAAAGCCTACTAAATAACAGAAGCCTTTTTTCTGGGTTTCCATTCACTAAAATTGAGTATTGGGCAAACATGATGTGTTCAGTGTAATCTTGTAAAATGTAGGTGTTGGTGAGAAACTGGAATAAATCCAGCTGTTTCAAGGAGAAATGTGTTGATGTTTTCACAGCACTATAAAATAGATATTAGAGAGAGAATTATGATGTATCATATATTGTAAAAAGGCTTTTGTGCTTAAGAGATTTTTTTTTGTGCGAAAGAAGGTTATGTTAAAGGTTGTTTCATAATTGTGCATTATTGAATTTGTGCTCAATCAAAGGTAGTGTAATGAGGACCGAATGCCTTAAAACTCTTCATTTATTTTTTATAGTGTTGATTTCTGTGTTTCCCTGGAACCAAAAAAGAGTAAACTACAACAACAAACAAAAGAAACATCATAAAAACATCAATATTGGCTATTGGGGAAATTGTTATTTTAAACACTGGTATCAGTATTGGCCCATAATTTCAAAGTCAGTGCATTCCTAGTTCAATTAGAAAGTTATTTTGCACATTTTGCTATTATTTTGCAAGGTCATATATTATTTTATTGTTTATTCTTCTGAACAAGTTTATTTGTAATTCTTTTTTATTGATTATTGATTTATAGGATTATTATAACACATGTAAAACATGTAACTGAAAATAAATTAGCATATATTTTTTAAAATCTATACACGGATACATACACTAATATCCAGCTCCTACTAAAGTCTAACTCACTAACCTGTACCTGTTACATACTTAGTATGTCGCATGAAGTGAGTCCAAAAGTCTGCTGCCTCAGTCAGTAACCACTCAGGACATCCTCTGGCTGCCCATTGAAGACTTCTAGACTGCTGTGATGGCCAACACAGAGCAGCTGTGCTGATCCTCTTTCTCTGAGGTTTTGGGTTTTGTTTGTTTGTTTTCAGTATCTGCTCAATGTCACGTGGCAGATAGAGTATTATTTGAACACAGACCTTACTCTCTTTCCCTGCATCACCTCATCTGATGCAGGTTCTAGTGCATGTGCAGGTTTTTGTTTGTTTTTTTAACCAATTCTCCTGCTGGCATGCTGAGAAAGAGAAACTGTGTTTAGTTATCACTGAGGTTAGGTGTGACACTTTTTACAACCATCCCCACCCCTGTCAGCCATTTTTTTAGTGAGCTGTAGTGGAATTGTGATTTGAAAAGAGCAAATATGAAATACCTCACATTTTACCCAGGAGACTACTTTCTAATCTAAGACATCATCAGTATCAGGACTCATCAAAATAGAGATTTTGTCCAAATAAATACTTATATATCTGAAAATCAGTATTTTGGCTATAAAATCTGCACACTTCTTTACACAGCTATAATTTCACATTTCTCATACAATAAATGCATTACATGATTTATAGGTCATCCATTCTTGGTGACAGAAGTGCTGTTACAACTACCCTGTCGTCACAACCGTATCCGTTTTCCCCCTAATCGGTGACTACTTGTCACTGTAAAAGCGCCGTAGATCTACTTGCATCTTTAAGTGCAGTGTGAAAGTGTTCAGTCCAGCAGCAGGTAGCAGCCCAGTTGTTCCAGCCAAGCCACTTTGATTTAGAGTGTAAAGGGCAATTGTCCACAAACTTCTGGCCATTTGATTCTGGACAAATACTGGATGGATTGCCATGAAATGTGGACGTTTATGGTTGCAAAGGAATTTCTTTTTTCCAGTGCCACCAGCAGGTCAGTTTGTGCCATGACAACTTCTTTGTCTTTACAATATAAAGTTCCATGTCATAATGGAAGATATAAAAACCAGTGTAGTGATGTAACAAACTAATAATATTTCATTACAGTACTAAAGTATTTCTTGGGAGTATCTGTACTTTTCTTAAGTTTTACAGTGCTTTCAACTTTCACTTTTAATCCAATACATTCCCCGAAGCATCTTAGTTACTTACTACAATAAAGAGAAGGAAGGAAGGAAGGAAGGAAGGGAGGATGTACAGAAGAATGAAGAAATGGTAGGTAGGGAACAACTGGATTTTGTTCTTTAAATCCTTTAAGTTGTGAGGACCTCATTTTTCTTCAAGTGTAATAATGGCTTCATTTTTAAGATAGTTTACATGTTGTGAAGAAATACATTTCAGAGTTCTCAAAATTCTGACCGCTCCCTTTGTTATTAACAGCATTTACTTGTACTTTTACTTTCAATACTTAATTACATTTAATATCATAAAATTGTTTTTGACACTTTAGTACAGCTATTATTAGATGCTTTAAGACTTCTACTCAAGTAATATTCTAATACATGACTTTAACTTTTACCAAAGTCATATTCTAGTAAGATATCTGTACTTTTGCTGAAGTATAGCTTTCAGGTACTTCATCCACCATTGGTAAAAACAGAAATGGCATAAAAGTCTTGTTGGTTCCTTTTTTTCTGTGAAAGAGAGTCACCAATGTTGTGCCAGCACCTCCCTGAATGAAGTATCATCAGTGGATTTGCTGCTTTTAGATTGCACTAATGATGTCATCAAACAATAATGCAATCCTTTGAGCCATTATTTAGTTAATACCTAGATATGTGATTCCTATAATGCAAATACTGCATTGTGAATTATCACAAGCAATAGCTGTAAAATGCAGAAAAGTCTTACAGCGACTGTGTGGTGCCAGATTCCAACAGGCCTGCAGGCCATAACTTTATTACAGTGCTAACACACTGAGCCTGACAGGATTACCACCAATGTGTAGCACATGATCTGAGTCTCGTGGTCCCTCTGATGCATCCTGCCTCCACTCCAAACAAGCCCCTGCCACTCACACAGTGCTCACATTTCTCTGTCATACCTTAACTGTCATATTCCATGGTAACCACATTCAGCAAAGTTGTACAAATGGGGGTGCTGAACAAGTCTATGGCATTTGGTACAATTACAGCTGTAGTTTTTTTTTTAAATTTAACACAAGAAAAATACACAGAAAACTAGTAAGTACTAGTACTGTACAAAGACGAAAGGTAGAATTTAGCAGCAATGGTGAAAATGATGCTACAACACAATCAGGAATAAATAAGAACAATAGAAGTAACATTAAATTGAAAATCAAGAAAGAAAAGGGATTTTTCAATGGAAGGGAGGCAAAAAAGGAGAAAAAAAATCAGGTAAACAAATAAAGAGCACAAGAGAGCAAGGTAAGGCAGGGATCTGGATTTCAAATGGGAGCGGGGAACAGATAGCAGGCCTTGATTAGATGATCGAAGTAAGTGATTGGTGCTGTAAGCCAATGAGGGGAGGCAAGAGTTGGGGTGTATTTGTTTGCAACTTGGCCGCTGCATCTGTATGCAGGGGTGTTTCTAGGATTTGAGGACATTTGGAGCTTAGCCCGGGTGTCTGTCAGGGAATCTTGGGGATTCTGGGATTCAGTGAGGGGAAGGTGGCAGAGGGGAAGCGGTTTTGAATATGGCAGTGGGGGTATGAAGCAGTTGCCGCCAATGTGAACGCGCAGAGATTTTGCTCTGCTGTGCTGAGGTCACTGTGTTGAACTTCTAGCGCTTGCAGCCTGGCTTTGGAATATCAAATAGAAGAGGGGTGGCATCCCTCCCTCAAGAATTTCAAAAACTACAAGATGGAGGAGCTGATAATTTTGGTGTCTAAATACCCGGAGTTGTACTGTACAACACAGTGCAAGCAACTTAAAAGGGCAACCAGAAGAAAAACTGGGCCTGTGATAACATTTCCACCAAACTTCAGATGACTGGTAAATTGTCAAAATATGTAGAAATCTTTGGTCATTTCAGTGATTTCTGTTGTCTTGCTACAGTATCCTGTTATTTACATGGCACTACACTAGCTTTGACTTCCATCAGTGACGTTCTCAAAACACCTCCTCATTATCACAGCCCTGGACTGTAGTTGCAGCGCAGAACGCTTCGCCTTGTTTGGGGAACACTCTTGCATGCAGGTGGTTGTCAGGGTGGTAGCCACATGGTGGTGTAAAGGCAGCTTATAGGTGCTATAAATACTGTGAAAGTATCCACAGTTCACAGAGAAATGAACACAGTTAGTATTCAGAAACTGTGCCTTGAAATGTATACTAGTATACTATATAGACTGTTTGAAATATAAACATTCTCAATAGGTCATTTTGCAATTCTTGGTGGAATGTTTCGCAGTGTATGTGAATGACATCAGCTGACAGGAAGCAAACAGGGACCTAAGCTGTTGCCTAGCAATGTCATTCCAGTGAAACAGCCTGTAGACCAAATCACCATGACATCAAGGTAACAACAACAATCACTTCCGGGTAGACAACTGGCAACTGACTAACATAGCAGAGATATGTAAAATTGGCAGACTTTTTTATTTCTGTTGTCATTTTCAACTGTAATGTTTAAAAGTATATAGT